CTTTGTGTTAACTTGCTTATTTTGTTAAGATCTGCTGTTGGAGTGTTATAGATATTGAACCGCTCTTGGACCCTGCCTTTTTTGCACTGATATTGAATACTGTTATACTAGATAGAAAATCCCTTTTTCATGCAGTTATTAAGGCCTTTTGCCATTTTCATGTTTCTCATATCTGACTTGTTCCTTTTCTGCAAAAAATATCCCTAGGACTGAGCACTATTAAATGTTTTACATTTTGCTGGATTCCTGTTTTAAATGGTGATGTAATCCAGGTCCCAGGATGGGACCTGTAACATGTTCTTGGAGGGGATGTATATGTGTGTATATTGAGATTGTAAATGGAATCGTTCTCATTTTTTTCCTCTGTACTTGGAAGATGGAGGCATCTGCATCACAGCGTCTGTTATTATTACTATTATTGTTATGTCTTATAGATATATAAGTATAATATGTATTGCTTTTTTATCCTTAATCTTTCCTTCTATACTCCTTATATTAGTCTGTCCACATTTACTAGGATTTAGGTCAAAGCTGTGAGATTGTTTTGGTGTTTTCCTTTCTTGCTGTTCCTCTCCTGTCCTTGAATGTGCATTCAAGGATGGGAGAGTATCTGTTCCCCAAAACATAGACTGTAAATGATTATGCATCCCTTTGCTCGGGGTCAGACTTTAGTAACTGTCCTAGGAGACAGAACCTCTGACCAAGCTGATTAACGTTGTAGCAGCCTACTTCTCTGTCATTCTCTTTTTATTAATAATTTCTTCAAAGTCAACGGTTGGTTTTTACTCAATTATTTACTTAATCCCTCCCCAGCCACATACAATTTCCACGACAATTTGGCACCCCAGATGGGACGGCCGAGGGATTTGGACTCTGTTGAAGGACAGAAGCCGACTTATATATGGTAAAATCCTCCGTACAGGGAGAAGCTGTGTTAAGCAGAACCCTGATCTTCACTCCGTTCCACAGAGAAAGGGAAAAGAACTTACACGTGTCGTTGCCATCGTGTCCTTAGCAAGTCCATAGTTTCCTCAGCCTCAGCTTCTTGATTTAGGATGTAACCTGAAGGCCCCGAATCATTGTAGGTCCTTTCCTGTGACCTGTACTGCTGTTCCAGTAATCCATAGCCCTTGGAAAAGGCCCCGACAACACCAGTTAAAGGAAAAGCCTGTGGCCCTTGATGAGTAGGGTAATATGGGGTAAGAGGCCCCCCCAACGGTAATTCACTTTTTTTCTCAACATTTCTTTCTGCTGCCCCTAGTCTCACTGAACTAAAAATGTTCTGTTTCATCACAATTTTTGTGTTATTGATAATAACTGTGTTAAAATTTATAATTGTGTTAAAGTTATTTGATAAAAGCCATTCTGACCTAAGTTGATCTAATTTTTATGTGTTAAAAAAAGCAATTTCTTTTTATTGTGTTCAATTTATATATGTATATGTACATTAAGGGGAGCCTTAAGATAAGTTATGCAATTGTTTACAGTGAAAGAGTTTTATAGTTTTTGGTTAAAGTAGTAAAATGCTAGATTTGTTTAGGGTAAGACGCCCCCCACCCTGGTCGCCGTCCTCCTTTATGGTTGATTGTCTGTAAGTTAGATGTTATTTAGACACTGGATAGACCCTTTAGCCTAGCAACTTCACTATCAGAAAGTCTGTGGTAAAATTCTGAAGTTAGAAGCTCACATATGCTCACATTTCTAGCTAGCTGAGAAGCGCGGATTTTACCTCAGACTTGCTGTTAATGAAGTTCCAGCAACCTCACTATTTAAAACTCTGAGAAATAAATTATAGGAAAGCTAATAACATAAGGCAAGGAAGGTTTATTTCTACAACATAGGTCTATAATCCCCTTGTTTTTAACCACCTACTTGTTTATTTTATCTGTAATTTGCACCTATAGTGATTTCACACCATAGAGGGGGCATCTTACCCCAGTGAAAAATGCCTTTTCCCTAAAAAAAATACATTTGATTGAATTCAAATTAATTTCTCAACTGTATGTATTTATTTTACTTTATATTATGTTACCCTAAGCATCGCCATCTCCAAGATACAAAAAACCCTATAAAATATTATTTTATGTGTCAGCAAATAGACATTGAGCTTAGGGGGGCGTCTTACCTCACACTACCCTACCCAAATCCCTGGCTCCAGGTGAGGGAGAGTAGCTGTGGCTACAAAGGGCAGCTGTGAAGGCAATGTCACTTGTGCACATGGGGAAAAAAATGTATTGCTTCACCAAAACATTGTGTTATACTGTTACAATTTTACAGCACCAGCACTCTGTAAGTTGCTGATTCCATCACCCAGGAAGAAAACAGAGATGAATTTCAGTTATTAGGCTTGTTAGGGCTTTGGCCACTACTCTGGCCTCCTGTTTATGGAAAATTTTAACCTACAAGTACAAGACAGTATTTCTCCTCTCTTATTTCTGCTCATGTCCTCTCCTCTCTCAAAACTGCGGCTATGACCCCTGTACTGAAGAAACCTGGTGCAAATCTCAACGACCTAAATAATTTCAGACCAATCTCCAACCTGCCATTTATCTAAAAAATCTTAGAAAAAACTGTTGATAATATAATCATCTCATCAACAATAACCTCTATGAACAGTTTCAATCTGGTTTTCGGCCTCTCCACAGCACAGAAACAGCCCTAATCAAGGTCACCAGTGACTTACTAAGGGCTGCTGATTCTGGTCTTCTTACCATACTCATTCTTCTCGATTTAACTGCTGCCTTTGATACTATCTCTCACAGTATCCTGGACCATCTAGTATCCATTGGTATCATCAACACATCCCTGAACTGGTTCACATCATACTTGTCTGGCTGCACTCAGTTTGTACAACTTAAAAATGTTCAATCACAACCCTCCCCAGTCAACAGTGTTGTTCCCCATGGATCAGTCCTGGGACCCCTCCTTTTTATAATTTATTTATTTACTTCCCCTTAGTTCTATTCTCAGGAAATATAATATCAAATTTCACTGCTACGCTGATGACACCCAGCTCTACTTGTCCACCAAACCTACATCTATGCTCCATCCGTCTTCTCTAACTGACTGCTTAGATGAAGTTAAAACATGGTTCACTCAAAACTTCCTCAAACTTAACAATGATAAAACTAAAGAATTCTCCATGTTGGCTCCAAATCCACCCTAGCAAAATGTCCCCCCCCCCACGTCAAGAGTCTTGGTGTCATCCTCGATAGCACTTTCTTTTGAAAAACACATCAATAATCTTACCCGGTCTGCTGATTTTCACTTATGCACCATCAATCGCCTTCGTCCTTCACTTACACTGCTACTCTCATCCATGCTCTTGTCATTTCCCGTATTGATTACTGTTAACTCCCTTCTCTCTGGTCTATCTCACAAGTTCATTCATAAACTCCAACTGGTTCAAAACTTTGCTGCTCGTACTATCACCAGAACCCCAGTCTCTGAACACATTACTCCACTTCTAAAACAACTGCACTGGCTTCCTGTTAAATACCATATGGTTTTAAAGTTCTTCTTCTCACCTTCAAAGCACTCCATAATCTTGCTCCTCCTTATGTCTCTGAACTCCTTCAGCCCTAAACCCCATCCCGAACTCTCCGATCCTCTTCTTCCTCACTACTTTCCATTCCTTCTGCTCACAGGTCCACAATGGGGTTCAGAGCCTTCAGCTATTGTGCAACTCACCTTTGGAACTCCCTCCCTCTATTCATCCGTAGTCCCTATCCTCCTTTAAAACTTTGCTCAAAACCCACTTATTTCAAAAGGCCTACCCCACATAATTCCACCTTCCACCTGAATTGCTTTTTTAAATTGTTCTATTTTATCTTAATCTTTAAATTGTATCATGTTTTGATGTATTATTGTATTGCCTCCTTGAAATGTATTTTAACTGTTTTAATCTGTAAGGTGTCCTTGAGTGCTTTGAAAGGCACCCACAAATAAAATGTATCATAGTATTTCATTTATTCACATGGTCAAAGACAAATTTCTGTCACTTGTGACAGACAATAAAGTTTTTCTTATCTTATCTGTTAGTTCAATTCACCATAAGATCACATCTGGATCTGTAGAGAAAACACAAATTTTTACAGCATGAGATTTTGAGTTTGTCAGTAACAGTTTTTCTCCACAATCTCTCTAAGATAGCATACTTTTTCATGCATGCTCTTTTACTATTCTTCTTTTTATTACTATTATTATTATAACTATTATTGTTATGTCTTATAGATATACATGTATTGTGTTTTTTATCCTTTAGCTTTCTTTCTTCTGTACTCCTTACGTTAGTCTATCCACATTTACTAGGATTTAGGTCAGAGCTGCGAGATTGTTGCCATACTGTAATTACTATAGAGTAGGCTACTGTAGATTACACAGCTACCCGAGAACAGCAGACACTTGACTGTGTTAAATGAGTTTTGCCTTGGGTATATCATTATACTGTCTACCTGCCATTCACCATGAAGTGCTGTCACTCAGACAACTCTTATTTGTTAGATTTTTCTGGGAAAAACTAATTACATATTAAGACTTATGTATCTGTCAGTTTGGATTCTTAAGTTGATGTCAAATGTTTGCCTTGAATTATGTGTCTCCCTCCTATCCAGCTCTGCTGTTCTGTTCAAAAGCTTGAAATAATTTAACAATATAGATTTCCTTCTAAAAGTAAACAGTAAATATGTCTTCGCTGCATCAAGTTAAAGACAATTTGATACTTGGACTTTAAGCTGGAGTTTAAAGAGGAGCAGATGGAAACCAGTATTCACAGGCATGCACATCTAGAGAATAGCATATATCAGAATTTAGACATCCTCTGACAAAAGCTCACATGGGGCCCTCAAGAAGCAATAAAAGTTTTGTTACACAAAACCATATTAAAGTATATTTGCATACATTAATAATTGAGTTATAGCTGATAGGCTAATCTGTATTTGTGACTGTGTTAAAATTTGTTACATCTAGAGGTCCCTCTTGTGGCTAAATTACCTCACAGTCTGTCAGTTAGGTAACCTCACATAAATCTGCTTCAGAGAGTCCCCAGAAACTCAGGGATCTTCCCATTAGAACATTTCTCCCTCAGCGGTATGGCAGGCTATCTGGGCAGGCTATGCCGTCTTCCTCGAAAGACTACTTTACGAGCAACCGAGGAGCGTGGCAAGTGGGGTAGCAAAAAGGAGTTCATCCTGTCTGTGGCTGGTGCCATTATTGGGCTTGGAAATGTGTGGAGATTTCCATATTTGTGCTACAAGAATGGTGGTGGTGAGTATTTCTGTTTATTATTCTGTCAGTTTAGTACTCTTGCTCTAACCTCGACTTTATAAAAGTGTAGCATATAGGGTCAGACCCTACATGCAAACTTTTTTAACTCTTTCATTGTTGTCCATCATCTAGAGAAACAAAGAAATTGATTGTCATTTTTTCATTATTTACCAATTTTTAATATATTTATTTATTTTTGCTTTAATTGTTAGGTTGCCTCTTGAAACTGATGCTTTAAAATATTGAAAGACTGGTGATTTAGAAACCAATTCATAGTGGATAGAGGGAAACTGCACTTCTTAAGCTTAAAAACAGTAATTTTCCATGTGATAAACTGATGAATGCATTATTATATTATTATTCAAATTCATATTCAATTATTACGTTCATACAAACTTTTATCTCTGTACTTTCAGACACAAACTCTGAAGGCTATGCACTGCATTCTCTCCTATTTTCCGCATGTGTCTCCCTCTCCATATTCACATGTGATGATTAAGGATTTGACAGGTTATAAAAGGCTATGAAAATACTGTACTGTCTGTGTTTGTGCAAAAGGAACAGTCACATTCTTTGCTGAATTCCAACAGGCTGATTTCACATTTCTCAAATTGAGCAGATACTGAAATTCAATCTATTACACAAGGAAAGTAGGAAAGTAAAGAAGTGACCAAAAACAGGTCATCATTCTGTAAGCCTATATGTTAGCCCATTAGGCCACTGCATTGATATATTACCACTCAACCACAGATCAGGCTGTTCAATGCTACAAGTGGGCTCAGTACAAGTAAGTAGTAGCCTTGTTACTCGAACCCCGTACTCAGTTTGAAAAAGCACAATTTGAGTTGACCTTTTAATAATGCTATGGTAGCCTACAACAAGTAGCCTACAACTGAATAAATGAAAGTGATATCGATCTTCTCATTTATCAATAAAAAGGCAAACAACCAAAGGCCCCGCATCACACAAAACAGACCACATGTTAAAACCATCATTGGTTTTGTAGACATCTCTTTTAAAAGTTGTCAATAAGTAAACACAACACCTGTTGAAAAACACACATTAACACAGCAGTTCATATTGAGAGTGGAGGCAAACAGAGTGGAGACATTTCCACATTTGTATGTATTTTACTAGAAAACTAGCAATATATCTGCCATGTCAACCGTAAAATAGACAGAGTGGGAGCAAGAAGGATATTAAGAAGTGTTCCAACTGAACATACACCTTAAACAGACATTTGAAATATGTTAATTTCAGCTAATTGATTAGTCAAGCAGCAGACAGTAGTCTGCAACGATTCTCATAATCTGTTGTTTAATCAATCAAAAAACGCCAAACATCCTCTGCTTCCAGCTTCTGAAATGGAAGGATTTACTGCATTTTTCTTTTTCTTTACCACGGTAAATAAAATATCTTGGCATTTTAGACCGTCAACGTATTCACCACACTTCTCAAAATGTTTGAGGGTTCCTTTAACAAAAGCCCCTGACCACACACAGCAGACTATGTTTAATTTCTTTTTCAGCATAAAGGTGAGGATGACACTTTAGTACCTTCTTAACTAGCTTGTTGAGCTTGTTAGCCTATCTTGCCCTCATGCTCCATCCCCAGCACACAGCAACATAAAAGCTCGCTAAAGTATTTAGGAGTAATCCACCTTGACATCCTCCCCCGCAAGTCCACAATCAACTCCTTCATCTTGCTAATGTTCAGCTGCAGGCTCATCCAGGCCCCTGTATTCTGCCTCCTGTAGTCCACTGATCCACCGCACAGTCACCAGAGATCGTGGTACTCTTTATATGTATAGTATACCATGCATGTTTACAATGCTTTATCCACACTTGCAGGTGCATTCTTCATTCCTTATGTCCTGTTCCTTGTGACCTGTGGCATTCCTCTGTTTGTACTGGAGACGGCGCTGGGCCAGTACACCAGTCAAGGAGGAATCATGTGCTGGAGGAAAGTCTGCCCCTTGTTTGAAGGTCAGGTACACCAGCCAGGATTGAGATGTACTGAGCAGAGTTTAGCAAGTTAAAAAAGTATTACTATGGCAATGCACTGTTAACATTTTATGTTGTTTTCAGGCATGGGATACGCCAGCCAAATTATCCTTTTCTATGGATGTATCAGCTACATTGTGATTATAGCCTGGGCTTTTCTCTACTTTTTCTCTTCCTTCTCTGGCAAGCTGCCATGGGCCTCATGTAATAACACATGGAATACAGGTAAATGATTTGTGAAAGTATTGAATTTGAAAGTATTAAAACTATTATTTCTCTCCTACACATGCCACTAACTATTTGTGTCCTAATTATATTTCTTTTAACTATATTAGGGCTGCTTCTGACTAGTAGTATTCGTTGAAGCCATTAGTCAACTAGACATCACAGATTTATGATATTTATTTAAAAATATTTTTGGGGGGTATCAGAGAATGGTTTGAGTTCCCGGCAGAGTAAGAATTTTACATTGTTAATATTGTGCTACATTACAGAGAAATACAAAACCGTAATAATGAGCCTTTAAAATATTAAAAAGGAGCACGGACCAAGTTGCCTGTTAACAACATGATTCTGAATGTCAGAACAACCAGCAAGGAGATGTTTTGTTGTAATTTGTGTACAACACTTTATTTTAACACAGTATAACATCAGACAAGTCTCCTTGTTCAAAACACGGAAATAAATAACTTCCACCTTCACATGAACAACTACTTGCCGACTTATTAATGCGATGAATGATGTATAACTTTACTTAAAATTAACTTGCTATAAACCCGCTCTTCTCTGCTTGATGCCTCTCCTGTCCTGTCTCTGAACCCGCCTTGTCTTCGTCGACCCCGGAGGGAGGGTCCTGGTCTGAGAAGCTGTAAATCATCGTGATACTGTATTCTCTGTTGTCAAACTGGCCTCCGTCTGGAGGCTGTGTTCGGCCCCGGGCTGTGTTCACTGAGAGGCTGCTGAGCCGGTTCCGTTGCCCGCTCGCTTGGCTTCAGTTCTGGTGCTAATTATGGCGCTGGTCCAAAGCTCCTGTGCTAGTTGTCTAAAGCAACACAAACACTCCCCCTGTACTCTAAGATTCCAGTCCAGGTAGAATCAGCTAATAGGACTGCTAAATGAACTAACTACCTAATGGCAGAGCATACAGTTAGCAGCAGTGCAATGTATAATAATACATTTATGACCACATAATAAGATCCACGTCCATGGCACCAACAAGCAGTGCGCTGTTAAGTGACTTAAGGTCAGAGTTGCAACACTCTCCTGATACTTTTTTTTGCTCTGGTCCTAACGACAACGCTCCCAAATGGAGTTTGAGGTTGTTGAGGGTTTTTTTCAGTGAAAAGATTGTCATGTAAGAATCTTTTTTTCGGCCAATCGTTGAGTCTACCATTAAGGGGCAATCCTAAAGTGTATTTAAATTAAGTTGAAATGTCATGTTATGAAAAATAAATAAATGCAAATGTTAAATGACATACTAATAAGGAAAATGTTGTTTCATTGTATTTACAATCAAGTATGGTGGCAGGTAATTGGAATTTAGTCAAACTAGTTACTGGATCACTCATTCAATTCATTTATCATGTAGAACTGATCTAATAATGAATTAACCATGAACTTTCAGTTTTAACTATGTTTAACAATACTTTGATATATTTCAGATTCTTGTGTGGTATTGAACAACTATAATGCCACTGCTAACTGGACCTCGCCCATGAATGCTTCCTCATCTGTAGTAGAGTTTTGGCAGTAAGTTTTCACGACACTGAATTTATTTGAATGTCACATATTATCAATGGATAACAACTTAGACATGACTTTGAATGGGTTAAAGTTCAAACATCCATCATTAAGACTGAATACAATCTAAATCTGAAACCACTGGCTCTGCATTTTGGTGCAGATAGAAAAATAGAGCTTTTCCAAAATTACATCAAATGCCTGTTGGTAGACAAGTATTGTCTGGCAGTGGTTGGGTGTGAACAAGCTGTGTGTAACTCACTGACATCTCTGTTAATTGCGTTGTACGTGTTAGGGCAGGACTGCTTCCAAATTACAAAATTGTATAACTGAGTGGGTGTACAGGGCCTCAAATAACTTTGGAACGTCTCTTATACACAAATTTAACCTTTAGATCTGTTGAGTAATGGAGATCATTTGACCTGTACCAAGGCAGGAAAAGACAAATCCAGTACAACCTTTGACTAAATAGCAAACATGACTGTGTTTGATTGACATCTTTAGCACACGTGATATTACTTGTTGCATCAGTTAGGGCGGGACAGTTTACACCTGATGCATACTCCCAGCATTGCTCCCCCTGAGATTACCTTGAAGAGGGGTCTAACCAGCCAGGATAATTAAAAACACCTGTGTACTGTACTGAAGGTGTGAATGTCTTACATTGCACATTCAGGCATGTATTATCATGAATAGTTTGCTGAGCTTCAACATCAATAGACCTTTTATGATGGACTTATTGACTTGTTAATCACAGGTCAGGTGTAACTAATAAAATTATAAATGGCTGCATTACATTGAAGTGTGCCAGTGCCAGGATTCTGGGATTTTGCATGATGGCTTCTCTGGACATTTAAACGTACTGAACCTATCATTATTAGTTACACCTGCAATTTTTTAAAATACACAGAGTTGAGACTTGCTTATCATTTTCTAACCTTTTAGGTCAGTTGACATCCCAGTTTTTCAGAGAGAGCATAAAATTTTACAAAGACGGTATAAAGTAGCATAGATGTATATTTCCTCAAATAATTGGTTGATAATGCTTTGTTCCTTACAGACTACGAGTGCTAAAAATATCCACCGGCATAGATGCCTTAGGAAGCGTACGGTGGGACCTTTCTTTATGCCTTCTTCTGGCCTGGATCATCTGCTACTTTTGTGTCTGGAAGGGAGTGAGATCCACAGGAAAGGTAAGACTTTCCCTCACTCAGTTTAATTTGTGAATTTAATTTCTTTATTTTTACTTCGCTGACTCAGTAAAATAATTTTCAGGAGGTTGCCACTCACCTTTATTACAGTATGAAATGCTGGTCATTTGTGCATTTGTAGTTCATTATACAAGTATGTCTTCTCCAATTATATGTCAACTGTCTATTGGGGCAGGCAAGCCCTAACAACGCAGGCATACACTAATTATGTTGGCTTAAATCGCACTTTTTTTCCTCAGGCAGCTGCCAAATTGCCCTCTGGAAGGCGCTGTATAGCAGCTGCAGCAACTAAGAACATTTACAAAAAGTCATTCATATCAAATGAAATAATCTTTCTAAATTCATAATGTCTCTACACTGGAATCCTATCCGTTATGGTCTGTACTGTGTATGTTGTGTTATTTATTGTGTTTTTGTATTGTGATTTTAAACGATGTGGTTTTTAATCAGCCTGTGAAGCCAAAGACAAATTTCCACATTTGTGGACAATGAAGACATTTGATTTGATTTGATTTGATTCAAAGCACAAGTTGGCTGTTTTGCCATACCTTACCATCTACTTAATTAAAACCAAAACACTTTTTTGGGAGGATACTGGTCTGCTAATTTTGCTCCAATTTAATACAGGTTTGGAAGCTATCAATTACATAAACGACCAGCTCCGCTCACTAATCCTCATGCACAATCTCCACTAAACTTGTAGGAAAACATAACATGATAAAAAAAAAATAGATCTGTACTTCTACTCTCTGGCATCTCTTTTTAGGATATTTGGAGTACATAAAATTAAGCACTCCCCAAAGGGTAAGGAAAGAGTGATCAATAGAAATCTCCACTAAATAAGAATGCTGTTTTACCGCTTAAGTTACCTCAGACCTGCTGCCACATGCAATAAAGTCTCACCTTCCACTCTCTGTCAAGCCCAGAGCATTGAAAGACAGTTTAAGGATAGATGTTTTTCACAATGGTGTAAAAAGTGGCTACAAGCCAATGCACTCATCTGTCAGTGGTTCAGTGGATAAGCAGGACTGGTGTGAGGTCTATGCTGACTAGCAAAATGTTTTGTGAGAGAGATGTTTGCAGTAGATCCTGGGTGACTGGGACCACATAGTTACCTAACGAGGTTCAATCCTGTATTTTTCCCCAATGCAAAAAAGTTCAAATTGAGACGCCCTGAATTTCTGCAGTCACTTGATAGGATTCAACTTCTTGATGATGAGCGTACAGCAGTATTGGTAGTAGTATCAGGTAGATATTTCCCAGGATAAGTCCTCAGTCACACAAGAAGTGACATGTTTTCATGATTTTTGCAGCAAGGGTGTGTAGATAATCCAGGGTGATAAAAAAAAAAAAAAAATCCCTCTACTGGCAACACTGTGGGGTTGTGCAAGAGTATCTTGGTGTTATAATGACTAACTTATATCACAACTTACAGTGTCCCGAGAAAACATTTTAAACATGGCTACAATCATAGTGTTGAGAATTATTGTGAGCCAGATGCCAGGTGCGGAGAAGAAGGTTTTCGGAGACTGACGAAGTTTTACACAGCAACGTTTAATGAGACTTGGCCAAGGAGAAACAGTGTCAGCATCCAACGTGTAAACACAAGCAATGCTAACACCAACATCTTTTGGTCCCTTTTTATGTTCCTGTCTTCCCCTTAGTGCCTGTAGGTTTCTCTATTAGGTTACCTTCCACCTAGAACAACTAATCTATCTGATGTTTAGATTCTAATGCTTCGCCATATTGGAATCTCTCACTATCCCTTAGTTGTACCCTTATCTGTGGAGTCAGTGTGTTCTTGTAAACATTTTTGTTGGACTGTAAGATTCCCAGAGAACACTGATATCTGCTAGCCTGACGTCTGAGCTACTGTCTCTAACTAATCAGTCTATTGTTGTCATCTTGACCAGAACAAGTACATGAGAAATACCTACAGCCATTAATGTCAGATAAACACTTAGGGGTCAGCTAAACTACTCTAAGCTAGACCTGTCTTACCTTTCCCTGTTACATCAACTAAGACACCTAAGAAATATTCCTAACACATAGGTTATACTTTATTATTCTTACATTTGTAATGTCATTTTTGCTTAAACGTAGGCTACCTATGTCACAGCCACATTCCCCTTCCTCATGTTGGGGGTGCTGTTTCTCAGGGGAATGACACTTCCTGGAGCCTTCCATGGCATCAAGTACTACCTGTACCCCAATCCTGCACGGCTCGCTGATCCGCAAGTATGTATTCTCATTTGCATTGTATTATTTTATAGAAAAGTAAGAGTGTTTTTGGTAAAATCATTATGTAACTGATATATAGGTTTGGATGGACGCCGGAACCCAAATATTTTATTCCTATGCTATATGTTTGGGATGCCTGACTACACTTGGGAGCTACAACAAGTACAACAACAACTGTTACAGGTGCGTACTACAAGATACATTATTTTTTGAGTGGGTGCAGTTGTATTAAGCTAGCAGCATCCAAATGTTTCATTTTTATGAGGCATACTATTTTATAGATAAAACACTCTTAACATCCCAAATCTGATGGATGTACTCTGGCACAACAAAAACCAAAACACTTTAAGATTATTTTTGTCAGATTTAATTTATTTGCATCCATCACCCATTATTTTTCCTTTAAGTTTTAAGGTGTCTGTAAGCCCTGTGTTACCAAGAAAGAAATAATGACGCAGTGCATTGTTTCTGATTTGCAGAGACTCCTTCTATCTTTGCTTGTTGAACAGCGGGACTAGCTTTATATCTGGCTTTGCCATTTTCTCAGTTCTGGGCTACATGTCACAGAAATCGGGCATCGACATTTCTTCAGTTGCTGAGTCAGGTACGAATGTGAATCTATTGAGTACTGAGTAGACTTTAAACTGAACAACTAAAGTTGTTTTATACATTACTGCCTTACAGATTTTGAGCATATAATGAAAATGAAAAGAATGTAAACTTTAAAATTACTCATTAATAGGAAATATTTAAACTTTTCAACTCATTTTTATTTTTACCTGTTGTGATTATGCTGCCTATAATCCTCAAATAAGGAACAATAAGGAAATAAGGAAGTGCAATAGATAAAAATATCAATTTTAACAGCAAAAAATCCTCAACTTTGTTATGACCCAAGTTGCAAAAACACTGTGGCAGACAGCAATGGCTTACTCACATTTGGTTTCACTCTGCAGGCCCTGGCCTTGTGTTCATAGTCTACCCACAAGCTGTGACCCTTCTTCCATGGCCTCAGGTCTGGTCCGTGTGCTTCTTCTCCATGATCATCTTGTTAGGAATAGACGGTCAGGTGAGCTGCAGCCTTCCTTACACCTCCCAAACATTTGCTGCAATGTTTCTTCTTTTGTTAACTTGTCCCGACACTAACTTGTCTTTCTGTCATCCTCCAGTTTGTTGGGCTTGAAAGCATCATGACCTCTCTAACAGATGTCTACCCTTCCCAGATCCGAAAAGGATATCGCAGAGAGCTTTTCCTGATGCTGATCTGTGCTCTTTGCTTTATGTTTGGCCTGTTATTGGTGTCAGAGGTAAGCTGGAAGCAGTCCATTTCATTGGTGGTCACATAAACAATTGAGCCATTTGCGGTCTGATCAATTAACCCCTAACTGGGAACAGATTTTTTTTCATTCTTACTGAGGACTAACTTCAGTGGGAGCTGTTTTGTGAGCACAAAATAAAATGTAATGATATCCTGTTTTAATTTTAGGCTGGAGCATACATTCTGCAGATCTTTGATCACTATGTCTGCAGCGGCCCCACTCTTCTTCTGATGGCAATCTTCCAGTCACTCATTATTGGATGGATTTATGGTAAGATAAAGTTGTCAGTGGTACAGCTGTCTTTGGTTTTTATGTTACATTGATACCACACTAATCGTACAACCTTACAACCAAAGCTGTGTCCCAATTCCATACTATGTATTGATTCTAGAGGCTTTAACTATATAGTGTTTTTGAAAATTTGGTTAAATTAAGAATACTAAAAGATCAGTCTTCATAGTTAATAGGCTTGATTAAGCTGTTAATGTTGAGACCATCCCACAAAGCAATGACAACGTAAACTGCTTGAAAAGAATGAAATTGTGGACAGTGTTGTTGCAGCTCAGAAACATCTTGGTAACCAACAGTACTGCGACTTTGAAATAACATTTTGCTGTGTATTTGTTCAATTTTATCAGCAAAACGTTGTTTTTTTAACTGTGAAAACTATTGGTGAAAAAACACAAATGCAGTGATGGTGATTACAAATCTAAGTTAGACCAAATATATTGTAGCAATGAATTTGTAAAGTAACAAAAAAAGCTGGAGTCACAAAAGTATATACCAAATGTCAAATTATTTACATTAATGAAACAAAGTACCATCAGAGACAGAATAACATTAAGTCTCCATTGTTCTACTGACCGCGTCATTTTCTGTTGGTGTGCCTATAGCAGATACTGTTTGACCTTAGATTTTTTTACCCACTTCAAAAACTGTGAATTTTAGTGTATATCCCATATAGTTTGTGTAATATAGAGCTGGGACAGAGCTTATATAATGTGTTGCTGTCCTAGGTGCTGAACGCTTCAGTGACAACATTGAGGACATGATCGGGTACAAACCTCTATCACTGATCAAGTACTGCTGGATGTTTGGCACCCCTCTTATTTGCAGTGTAAGAATAAGTTATGTTTATAAAAATTGACTTTACTTTTGATCCAACACTGTTTATATGTTTGTGATTTGTTTCCCTTTAAAGGGCACACTTGTGTTTTTGCTCCTGAGATACTCCCCCTTGAAGTTTAACAACTCCTACGTGTATCCTTGGTGGGCGTACTTGATCGGCTGGTTTTTGGCCATGTCGTCTCTTACAATGATTCCAGTGACCATAGTCTGCAAACTAGTCAAAGGAAAAGGGACTCTCTGGCAGGTCAGTGATGGTTGTTAGTGGGTGTTATTCTACAGTTTAGCATCAGAAATTTATTTCAAAAAATGTTGCTTGTAGTGCTTTTTTTTGTTGCATGCTGTTCTGCTGCAAGTGATATTCTTTGACAATATTAATTCCTTCCCCAAGCGTCTCAAGACAAGTTCCAGACCTGCAGATGACCTTCCAGTGATTGCAAAGGAAATGACATGCATCAGTGCCTCACTGCATGTCCCTGATGATGGAAAAATTTGCAACTTGTAACAAAATTTCAATCAACACACAAAATGGTATAGAGCAGGTTTTTACTATATATAGGTTTATGGTGGTATTTATGTTTATATTTATGGTGGTAGCATTCATTTCAGATACTGAATGTACAAAATTCTACATTGAGTTGCGCCCAATTTATACAACCCAAATCTGTAATTCCTCAAAACCTGAAGGACAACAATGGTGTTTCTGCATGATTTAGCACCTTCACTACAAACGCACAAATGAATGCAGTGGAAAGTTATTTAAACTCAGATTATATTTAGGCTGTTATTAAAGCACCTGCTGTAAATTTGAAATATTTCCGATAACATAATATTAGTGACTAAATAAGCAACAATCAATTTTAGGAGGAAAACAGTTTTACCTATTACTTGTTTAGAGATCAACACTTAAAAACTAAAAGCTAATCTACTTCATCAGGAAGGAGGTAGTTTCATCAGATTTAATGTCATCACTTTGTCAACATAATCAAACAGGGCATCAAGAATAAAAACATGAATTCAGGGCAGTGTTTTGATCTACAAGATCCTCTTCAATACATTGCTTTGAAAAGACAATTAAAGTATTTATTTGGAGCCCAACATTGTGTAGACTTTTGTCCTTTGTGCCCTGCATTTTTTGGTCTTGCCTCTATGTGACCAAGATTGTTCTACATTTTGCAGAAAATAGTGTCTTCATGTAGGACCTATCACTCACAATAAGAGGCTGGTAGAGAAAATGGATTTATTTGGCATTTAAAGGAATAGTTTGATATTTTTGGAGATACACTTTTTCTTGATAGATCAATTGTCATGTTGGCAGAGTTAATATGGAACTACAGCCAGAAGCTGACTGGAGAGACTCATTGGTGAATTAGTGGTCTTTAGAGGTGCCGAAGGCTTCTTTTTATACCATTTCACAGAGCCAGGCTAGCTGTTTCAACGCTGATCTTTGTCCTCATTCACCTCTTCTGTACAAGGTTTCCCGTCACATTCATCTGTGAAGTAATATAGTATGCGATTACCAGCATACTGTTCACACTTAAGTCTACTCAATCAAGACATGTCATGTCATCCAAGTCATGTGACTGGATCACATGATTGGGTTTGCCCAGTCTGAAGAGGTGTAGTGCCTTTTCATACTCAGAAATTCATGCTAGTCTAGTATGCATCCAGCCAGGCATTTCTTGCGTACACAAAATCCACATTTGTGCAGTTGCAACATACTCAATTTGACATCATACTTATGTTAGTATGCGATTATACCCATGTTCCTCCCCTTTGTTCTCCTCCTGTTTTTCAAACAGGCCTGAGCTGCAGTGATTGTTATTATAATAGACTTAGTCATTCATATGATTCCATCAGTGGACTTTCTGTAGGTCCTCACACTAGGGCATCATCACCATCGTTGCTGTCTGTGGTGTCAATTTTCAGACACAAGTCTCATTTATTTTCTATGCAGTATAAAGTATGGAGTATTTACTTCCTCGGCCTGTTAAATAAGTGTAAGCTACTTGCTGCTTTTAATTCCATTTCCTTGGATCACTATATTGATGAGGTATTTTTATATGACTTTTGTTTTTATACATGACTTTAAATTCGAATAATAAAACACTTTTTGGGGCAATATGGCTTGTTCATTTTCATTTTGTATGCATGTGAGTTAGGTTTTTATATTTTTTTACTTTAAATTTCTACTCTACACTACATTTCAGATGACAGCTACAGTTAATTTTTCAGATTAAGATTGTGCATGAACAAATGTATAAATTTATAAAATACAATGCATAATAGATAACAAAAACATTGTGTTTAGTCGGGACTCAGGTGTTAATGAGTTGTTAGCAGTTCCAACAAAGAGACATTTATTCTCTAAACTTCTCAGATGATTTCATGTAAATAACCGTACACTACCCCTTTAGTCATTTCACAATCCCTGAGATTTATCTTGTGACCTTTGGAGGGGACGCCACCCCTAAGTTGGGAACCACTAAACAATCAAATTTTATACAGTGGACTCAAAGCTAGCTCCCCCTAAACAGCTTCACCAGAAAAATTCTTCTGCATTGATGCATCAGTATTAACAATCTTCTAATGTAATATATAATAGTATGTCAGTTAAAGGGGACATTTTACTGCAGAATGAGACGTCTGCTTTTTATACTTTAGTACATTTTGCTGATATATTTTCTGCCCTTTTGTTTTTAAAGTAGTATTTTGAATGTCAGACTTTTTAATAATGGAGCATTTTTAACTCATTGTAATTGCTACTTTTACTTAGCATCTGAGTATTTATTCTGCAACCTCTGAGTACTTATTCAGTTTTTAATTTAGTTGTTCATGTAACTGCTTTGTTTTACTGTGCACATATGGTGGCTTTGTAAAATAATCGCAGCTCTTCACTTGTTTCACTCTTTGTGTTATGAATTACATTTGAAAAGGATTAAATTAACTTTTCTCTACTTTAAGTACCTTGAAGATGTCTCTAGTACTTTGTGAATCAGGCTGTGTCACAGTGTAAATCTGGGAAAGTGAATAAAAACAATTAACTACTTGTTCCCAGGAGCACGGCAGCCTCCATCACTGAAATGGAAAAAAGTCGAGAACCACCAAGACAAAGACAGTGACTGGGCAAGAAAGGCCTTGGTCTGGGAGGTGCCCAAGAACCCAACCGCCTCTCTAATACCTTTGAAAAAAAAAAAAACCTGTAAAAATGTGTTTTCGCTTGTCATAATGGGTTGCATCAAAAATAAAAATTGTGTTTAAGCTAGAACACAATAGTGTGTAAAAAAAACCAAACAAAATTAAGTGAAGATTTAAAAACCTTCTGATGTCACCACACTGTTTTTGAGCTTTGAATACAATGTAACCCAGAGCAGCCAACCAATTAAACTGTCAATTTTACTTAAGTAATTCCTGGGAAACTGGCAGCAACATCTTATCAGGCATGTTGCCCAAAAGGACTTTTGTTGCCTTAGATGACTCAAAATGTTCGGACGTTTTTACTTGCATCTTTCAAAGTGTTTAGCAATCAAAAGATGTTCAATTAAACAGCAAACCTTAGGTATTAAATAAAATACATTTTTTTAAATATTTATCTCCTCATCCCACGTCATAGTATTTGCCTATTAAAATGCTGATTATTTTCTTAATGAATTTATTATTTTAGTCTACACATTAGAAAACTTTCAATTCACATTTTTGAGTGGCCTTTTATTGTGGCCAGCCTAAGGCTCACCTGTGCAATACCCACGCTGTCTGATCAGCATCTTGATATGCCACACATGTGAGGTGGATGGATTATCTCGGCAAAGATTGACAGATTTGTGAACAATACTTGAGAAAAATAGGCCTTTTGTGTACATAGAGAAAGTCTTAGATCTTTGAATTCAGCTCATGATGAATGGGGGCAAAAACAAAAGTGTTGCATTTACAATTTTGTTCATTGTAGATAAAGATAAATAAACTACCTTGTACCTTATAGTAATACTTTCATTAATTGATAATTTCCTTAGGTTAGCCATGATATACAAATGAGAAATATGAATACTACACATGGAAACATTTATCAAACATTTATTTAAAAAAAAAAAAAAAGCCAATGTAAAAGATAATATCTGTATTTGTCTAATTGGGTACACTTGCTCTGACGATTTTGATATCATCGACCGGCCGATCTTGACCGCTTGTCTCTACCATCCCAATCCGGTTCAGCACTCCCATCCCCTGGTATACTCTTCCAAAAATACTGTGCTTTCCATCTAACCACTGAGTGGGTCCAAGAGTGAGGAAGAACTGGCTTCCGTTTGTGTCCGGTCCTGCATTAGCCATCGCCAGAATACCGGCACCTGATAGACACAAAGGTGAAATCAGAATTACAATTTTGAGACTTTTCACTGTTAAAAGCATCTTATAAATATTAAATGAAAGGAATCTGTAACACTACATTTTAAATCAGATTTCAAATCAAGAAATCCTTGAGCCAAAACCACAACATATTCTCTGTAGCTGTAACATTATTTGGTATACACTCACTTATAAAGTTCAGTTCAGTGTGCTTTATTGGCATGGATGTTTCATAAATAATGTTGCTAAAGCACTTTAAAAATCAAAAGTTTACATTTGAATAAGACATAAGATTAAATTTGAATATCCATTCAGTTGCCAGTTTATTAGGTACACCTAGCTAAAAGTATTGCCACTTAATACAGCATGCCTGCAATAAATCCTTCATTTTTGTAAAAAATAATGTTAAGGGCTCAGCACTGACACGCATACCAATTAGGTTAATTGTAAAGGGTGCAGGAGCCTTTATTTACCAACCTACAGTTGTCTCCTCCACATCTGCCACTTTGTATAAAAATGTTTCACCATGATTACCTGTGAATTTCAGTTCTGGGTTCAGCTCATCCTCAAACTGTTTACCAAATATGGAGGCACCACCGCGACCTGTTAGGACGACAAAGATTAGAAAACTACACAATTGCTCTCAAATGAAGTAACTGAACAAGACAATATGCAATTATAAACATGTCAGGCTTTATATGAATGGACTGGTGTTTTCCATTTAAATGTTATTACCATGTGACCTTCAGACTTTGCTTTGATGTTAAATATCACTCTGTCCATGTTTCACACTTGGCTGTTTTGCTAAAGAGATCCAATTTAGGATTATCAATGCATGTTCAGGGTGAAAGGTTTAGATTAAAAATCTGCCAAACAAATGTATTGAGATTTCACCGGGTCGCTCTGTGGGCCCGCTTGATCAGCCAAAACAAGAACGACAGATGTGTCATCGGCCCACTTTGATTATGTACAAGCCCACTTCCTCAAGATCCTCAATACCAGCAAGAAAGAATGGCATCGACCTCGACAGCTTAACGGAGTAAAGTGATGTGAACAGTAAAGTTACTAAAAACAAGACATCGGTGCTGCAGTAACACCTTCACAACCTAAAAACCTCCAGAGTGTGGCAGCACTCAGCCAAAAAGGTTGAACTGCAGCATCGGCAAAACTTAGCTTTCCTAGAAACACCGGAGCATCTGAAGAGGAGGGGCGTCATGTTGTTGCTCTGTGGATGATGAAGACTCGTCTCAGTAAGCTAGTTAGCGAGCTACCTTCACGTTGCGAGCTGTAACGTTTTCTATACGGTTTCCTTTAGTCAATTTGATTGAATGATTGATAATGACGCTGAGAGTAGCACATTATGACACAACGGCCGCGTTCACATTCCAGATGTGCCCTGACTTTATCATAAATGACGCATCGCTCATGACGACGTTCCCAGCTGGAGAACGTGTTGCGAGTGCGCAAGATTAGATAACACCGGACAATTTCATACTTTCTAAAGAATAGAAAACAGTTCTCCTGTCTATGCGTGAGGCGGCGGATAATTCGCCCCAAACTCCCTTAAAGTTTTAAATTAGAGAGGTCCGCAAGACAAGGTTGTCCATTGTCTCTCTTGTATAGTATTGCAATAGAACCGCTAAGTCTTCTTATTTTGAAGAACCATAGTGTTAAAGGAATATGCACCCCTTTAGGCAGAGAAGCAAAATTCTTTTCATCTGCTGATGATATCAATGTCACTGTTAAAACTGAACTAGACATTGAGAAGGTAGTAAAACACTTGCAAACCTATGAGAAGGTCTCTGGTGCTAAGGTTAACATCAACAAATCTAGTATCTTATATTTTGGTAGCAACAGTCAAACGAACAATGCGTGGGGGTTTCAGGAAACTGGAGACATGGTAAAAATTATGGGAGTCTATTTTGGTACTGTTGCTTCAGTTGCAAGAGATCGCAGCTGGAGTGAGCTGTTGCTTAAAGTCAGAAACAGACTTGCTCTTTGGAAGATGAGATGCCTTTCGTTGAAAGGGAAGGTGGTCGTCAATAATTTAGTTCTGTTATTCTTCACACTCTGAATGTTCACGGAATGCCAAAAGAGATAGTACATAAATTACAGTCTGCCATTTCATCTTTTTTGTGGAGAGGAGGAGGTAATTTGATCGCACACTCCACCTTAATCGGAAAGGTAAAAGAGGGGGGTTTAGCGTATAGAGACATTGCCACGATTAAAGACACGGCTAGAATAAAAGTTATAAAGAAATTCTTATAGTGACAGGCATATTTGGATGGATTATTTGTATCACAAAATAAATCAAAGTGGTTCTTGTGGTATTTTCAACCTGTGTCAACTGTCATCACAGAAAATCATAGAAACGTTCCCCTTGTTCTATAAAGAAATCTTTCCAGCATGGAGCAGAGCCAGAGTATTACTTTCGTCACATGTAGAACACAAAGGACAAGTATTGAGACAGCCGCTCTTCAGAAACCCCTGTGTTGCGTTTCAATCTTTGTTTTTTCCCCCCAATGGCTGACTTACACACATTGAGAGACGTTCTAAATACAACAGGGAGCGTAGACAGTGAGTTCGTACTCCAGACCTTGGTAAGGAAGAGTATCAGTTTAAAAAAAACAAACAAAAAAAAACACTGGTCAACATATGTTCAAAAATTTAATCGGATTTGCCTTCTGAATGGAAATCAATTCTCAGAAAAACTTCAAAAGTTGTGCAGGATGTCTCTCCTGATTTTTCCTTATGTAACACTAATTCTCAGAAATCATTGGTCGATATAACAACAAAGATGTGGTATAAATTGTTAATTGAGAGAAGTATTGCACGACCAACTTCAGAAAAGATTTGGGAAAAAATCTTTTTGGGAAGAGATAATCATTCAATCTGGCAGAATATTGATTTAAAATATGGGAGTCATGCTGTGTTTAACACTGATTTCAAAATCAGACATAGGAGGATATTCACTGGAGTCATTTTGCATCAGATAAATAAACAAAAATATGCCAGGACATGTACCATCTGTAGGCTCGATGATGAAACTTTAGAACATTTTTTTAGATTGTCCGTGCCTTGCTCTTTTTTGGAAACAAGTCACGATGCTGTTGTGTCAGGGTTGCAACTGGGAATGCGGAACAGGGGAGGATAAAAGATAGGTGTTATTGTTTGGTTTACAATCAAATACAATCTCCAAGAAGAAATGGATAATTAATATAATATTAGCTTTCGCTATACATACAGTCTTTTTTGGAATCATGTACATGTCTGAATAATTTGTGTGCTTTTTTAATAAGATTAAAAAAAAAACTCCCTTAAATAACAGAGTTTTGTGAGTTGTTGAGTTAGGGGAAATATATCACCGTTGTGAAACGCTGTCTACTACAAAATGGTTATTATTGACCCCCCTGTAAATTCGGCAAATGTAATGCATGACGTTATTCCTTTCTTTGTATAGTGTCAGCTTGTGTTGCGGTACTGGCGTGTAAACTGCTCCGTCACTAAACAGCAGATCATCTGTTTAGATCAGGACTTTATTTTAGCGGAACTTCTTTTGCTGCAGCAGAAACGTTCATTAAAAGATGTATTTTTAATAGCAGCATTTATTTTATCGTTAGCACATGCCTAAAACAACCTGAAGTTTAATTTAAAAGCTGATAGCTAAATAAGGCGCATTGTGTAATGAGTCTTATTTAGATTCATAATCCCAATAGTCAATTATTCATTTGAATAATTGATAGATTAGTTGCAGCCCTATTGCTTTGTGCACTGGTGCGCAGTCATGTTGGAACAGGAAAGGGCCATCCCCAAACTGTTTCCACAAAGTTGGGAGCATGAAATTTTCCACAATGTCTTGGTAGGAAACACCTCGCCCGCAAAGTCTCATGAACCCATGTACGGACAGTCTGTGGTGCAACGTGGCGTTGGTGGATGGAGCGAGATGTGATGTCCCAGATGTGCTCAATTGGATTCAGGTCTGGGGAACGGGCGGGCCAGTCCATAGCATCAATGCCTTCCTCTTGCAGTAACTGCTGACACACTCCAGCCACATGAGGTCTAGCATTGTCTTGCATTAGGAGGAACCCAGGGCCAACCGCACCAGCATATGGTCTCACAAGGGGCCTGAGGATCTCATCTCGGTACCTAATGGCAGTCAGGCTACCTCTGGCAAGCACATGGAGGGCTGTGCAGCCCCTAAAGAAATGCCACCCCACACCATTACTGACCCACCGCTAAACCGGTCATGCTGGAGGATGTTGCAGGCAGCAGAATGTTCTCCACGGCGTCTCCAGACTCTATCACGTCTGTCACATGTGCTCAGTGTGAACCTGCTTTCATCTGTGAAGAGCACAGGGCGCCAGTGGCGAATTTGCCAATCTTGGTGTTCTCTGGCAAATGCCAAATGTCCTGCACGGTGTTGGGCTGTAAGCACAACCACCACCTGTGGACATTGGGCCCTCTTACCACCCTCATGGAGTCGGTTTCTGACCGTTTGAGCAGACACATGTACATTTGTGGCCTGCTGGAGGTCATTTTGCAGGGCTCTGGCAGTGCTCCTCCTGCTCCTCCTGCTCCTCCTTGCACAAAGGCGGAGGTAGCAGTCCTGCTGCTCGGTTGTTGCCCTCCTACGGCCTCCTCCACGTCTCCTGATGTACTGGCCTGTCTCTTGGTAGCGCCTCCACGCTCTGGACGCTACGCTGACAGACACGGCCAACCTTCTTGCCATAGCTCGCATTGATGTGCCATCCTGTATGAACTGCACTACCTGAGCCACTTGTGTGGGTTGTAGACGCCATCTCATGCTACAACTAGAGTGAAAGCACCGCCAGCATTCAAAAGTGACCAAAACATCAGCCAGGAAGCATAGGAACTGAGAAGTGGTCTGTGGTCACCACCTGCAGAACCACTCCTTTATTGTGGGTGTCTTACGAATTGCCTATAATTTCCACCTGTTGTCTATTCCATTTGCACAACAGCATGTGAAATTGATTGTCAATCAGTGTTGCTTCCTTTCTCCTTTTGATTTCACAGGAGTGTGATTGACTTGGAGTTACATTGTGTTGTTTAAGTATTCTGTTTATTTTTTTGAGCAGTGTATATATGAATATTAAGCCTGCCAAATTTCACATTTTAACATTAGTTCAATATCACAAATCAGCCTTGGATTTACAATCTGAACAGTACAGGTGTATACTGCATATTTAACTGATTCTAGCGATCAACAAGAATTGATTAATTGGAAGCGTTCTAATTGAATACTATTTGAACTATAATTTGTGCCAAATTGCAGTATACTTTCACCCACCCAAACCATGTCTGTAAATCTAGCGCATGTGATGAACCCACCTGTTCCTGTAGGGTCTCCTCCTTGCACCATGAAGTCTTTGATTATTCGGTGAAACTTTGTGTTGTTGTAGTAGCCTCTTCTGGCCAGCTCTGCGAAGTTCTTGCAGGTCTTTGGTGCATGTTTCCAGTACAGCTCCAACACAACCGTCCCCATCCTGCAATGCACTTTCAGTATTAATAACGTTATCCAGCGTCTTTGAACAGCAAACTCTGTTTTACAAGTTCTCACTTCAGAATCAGCTTTTATTGCCAGGTATGTGTACGCATATCATGTGTGCCCTGGTGAATTAATTTGTGACTGCGTGTTGCAGAATAAAAAGACAACAACGCCAGCATGAGGGCAAAGAACTAAAGCACCATAATGTGTAGATTTAGTTAAATCTATACTCAGCAGCAGTAAGACTATTTTGGTATCGGCATTGTTTACCAAGCAAGCTTAGCTAACATCACCAAGCAGCTAACGATAGCGTAGTTAGCCGACTTCACGTTACTTAGCGTTAGCTGAGTTAGCATTCAGTGGTTTTAATAAAAACTTACGTCGTCTCCAGGGCGACTGTTGGCGGCTGCCATGTGTCTGGAGGTATACCTGACATTACCACTCCAAACAGTGCCCTTCAGTAGTCTTTAAACAAATCTGTTGAATTAAAAGCAAGTGATGTATCAGCCTAGCACATTCATTCATTCAGTTCAGTTCATAGGGACGTCTTCTTCTGTGGTTGCCGCTCATTTCCTCTGCGTGAGGAGCGAGTCAGCAGCAGTTGGCTGCCCTCTACTGGACACACGGACCTGTCAGTTGCTTCTTTTATACAGGTGCTGGTCATATAATTAGAATATCATCAAAAAGTTGATTTATTTCAGTAATTCCATTCAAAAAGTGAAACTTGTATAATGTATACATTCATTCCACACAGACTGATATATTTCAAGTGTTCATTCCTTTTAATTTTTATGATTATAACTGACAACTAATGAAAATCCCAAAATCAGTATCTCAGAAAATTAGAATATTGTGAAAAGGTTCAATATTGAAGACACCTGGTGCCACAGTCTAATCAGCTACTAAAACAATGTGCTAGCTTTTTAAAAAGATAAGATTTAAGAAGGGATTTAAAATATGTCATTGATTTTGCAGTCTCAAGTTCAAGAGCTGAGGCGTACTGGTCACCACCGAGACTTAGCAAGAGGGTTTTAAGGACCGAAACTAAGTACATAAATAATTATAGAATTTATCATCCATCAAAAGTCAGAGGGCAGGTTAAAGACTCTGAGTATTACTTGGCCAACATATGTACCATTGTAGCAGGTAAGATTTAATTAAGATCTGCACAAGGTGCCACCATCTTGAATTAGGCAAAAGCAGTAGAAGTTCAACCACAAATCGCACTTTTGATGGATGAAGATGACAAATTTATTTATTTTGCTTCAGCAAGTTACACTCTGGATGAATGAAAGTACATAAATAAATAACTACACAAATAAATATGCATTTAATATCTAATTTTATTTGTGATTAATCTAAAGTGACAATCAGGCTTCACATTGCATAATTATTGTATGCATTTTATCCGGCTATTGAATCATTTAATTATATAATTATTTATGTATTTATATAGGTAGTTTTGTTACTTGGCCAGTAACACAGCCAGCAGAGCCCTACCCAAGGATCTGAGACTCTGGCTCATAGGTGAACACCAATTTAGGAGATAAAAATTGGTGTGCTTTACAGAATACACCTGATTTATGAGATGCTCCTCAGTTGATGAAAACAGGATTGAACAACTTTTGTATCTTGTTTTTCAAAAGAAAGGCTACTGTCAAATTTTACACCCAGGTTTCTGGCTGCAGGTTGTGTGGACAGGGTGCCAAGATGTTTTTGTAAAACTGTAATACAAGGACCAAAAAGAGTGATTTAAGATTTGTTTTTATTTCGCTGGAGAAAGTTCATTCTTGCCAGACAAGATGAAACTGTTTTCTTCACCGGTTTATTAGGGGACATAAATTTATGTCATCTGCATATCAATGATACTATATTTTATGTTAATGTATGATTTGTCCAATTAGTAGCATTTATACAGAGAACAAAGAAGGCCACGGGGGAAGCCTTGGGGAACACCACATGCCACAGAGATGGCCAGAGAAAAGAAAGTATCAGCGACCACTATCAGAAAGTTCTGTTAAAGGGAGAAATAAGATATGTACCAGAGCTGTGTCCCTGATGACACATAAAAAATATAATTGTACTTTGAGGTCAGACTCAGTTTTGATGCACACACTCCTCAGTCTCTTGTCATAATATTGAATGTATTTATTACAAAGAAAAGACACCTGGAACCAACCCCCCACAGTTACATGAGATTTGCTTAAAGTAACAATCTTTCAACTTCAATTCTACCCAAGAAACAAGGTCACAAGTTGAGCTGCATGTGTCTCTTCTAGGGCTGCAGCTAACAATGATTTTAGTATTAGAAGCTTCTATAGATTATTTCAACGATTCATCGATGTGTCGTTTAAAAGGTACTTTAGCTTGGCGGCAAGAAACTGAGACACAACATCTTATAACTTCTCTGATTAGACAGGATAGAACATCTTTACTTCCTGACAAAGTAAAAGAAAGGACAGGGACTGTTAACCATGACACTGCACATACACACACACACACACATTGCACCAAAAAGAAATATTTTCTAACACATGATGTTAACCTATTTTTCAAGGTTGGTTTGGTAAGACAGACATAACATCATAAACACCTAAAACGGAATGCATTGCAATGCAAAGTATAACTTTGTAAAAGCAGTTTCAAGTTTCAGTGTTCGTTGAGGATGTTAAAGAGAAATGTTGAATCAGCTCTATAGGCCATGTTCTGGACTAGATGGCTTGGACTGCAAAATATGTACAATATTGTGTCTCCATGGTAAAATGTACAATACACAATGTACCTTACAGTTAAATTTATTTGGTTTATGAGTGTCTGAATCTCTCTCTCTATCCTATCTGTTACAAGAGGGACATTGTTGCTTTTATTTTGACATAAAAATATGGTTGGCATCAACAGTAAAAACCTTTGCCCCCTGCAGTTGGGTTTGTAGCTGGGTTTTTTTTTGTTGTCTTCAGAGTAAAATGTCATGACCAACAAGAACATGATCTGTCAAAGCATGTTAATACAATAAACTCAACTACAGAAAATAGATTTTCATCGTCCTCTACAGTATATTATATGTGAAGTCTTACATATTGTGTTTTTGATCACATTTTCCAGGAAACAAATAATGTAACATGAGTTGACAGGGTTAATTTGTTCACCAAATTGCCTGTCAGTGAGGAATCAGGTCGTCGTCTTAAGTCCCAAGACAGGCAGCTTTTGTCTTTGTCAACACATGTCTGTTGGGGATCATAAGATACTATTAGCTGTACAGTATAATGCTGCAGGAAAAGAATATACATTTAATCATGTCCAAGTGGTCGGCAAAGGTGACAGGGGTCATCTTAGATGGCAGCATGCCACAGGACAGTTTCATTTGTCCAGCATTATCCAGTGTCTAGGAAATGACATAACTGATTATTTTAAAATTAGAATTGGGTAATACTTGTTTGCTGATGATGGTGCAATGTGGATAAGAGGCAAGAATATTAAGTATGCACATGGGAAAACAATAAGAGATTTAAGGACAGAGAGAACAGCTTCAACAATCTTGACAGAAAACGTCAAGTTTGTTGCAACAAAAGGAAAACAGTCATAATTTGTTCATGAAGAAGAATGAAGACCTTCAATAATGAAGATATGTATGATTATATTTTGATAAGAGATATAAATCAAGAGTTCATTGAAATCTTGTAGAAGGAAAATGTGAGAAAGTAATTAATGGGAGCTCCTAAGGTGAAGACAGACATACTGCAGGTTATGATTTATAGACCTATTATCAGTAGGACGTCTAGCAAAGCAGCCAAAGCCACTCTAGTAAAACAGGATTTCCTAAAAGCCCGGAGGTAAAAGCATCAAGGGTATGATGTATGACTTTGTTGTTTTTGCAAAGAAGGGAAAAGAAAACGAGTATTGTAAAAGACAAGAATCATAAATATAAAATAGAAATGTATAATTAAAATATGTAAAATGTATATGAAGAGCTGTGCAGTAAGAGATGTGAGGATGTGAGGATGTGCTAAACATGATTAAAGAATGTGCAAATGTCCACAGTATAAAGAAAAAAGAATATGTGCAATGTGAAAAAATAAAAACCCAGAGATTTACAAAAATCTTTATTAATGTAATGTGTTAAATTGAATGTGAGCTCCTGGACTGAAGAAAGACATGCTGCAGGTTGTGATAGTGCTATAATCAGTAAGATGTCTAGCAAACAGCCAGTAAAAGCATTAAGGGTGTGATGTACAAATTTGTTGTTACTACAAAAAAAGTGGAGAAAACCTGACTAGTAATAAGAATCACAATCAGAAACAGGTTTATCGGATCTTCATTTAATTTGATAAAACTTTTTGGGACATCAGCCTCTCATTGAGTCCAGGTCATTTAGGTTAGCCAGATTGTTGAGATCATGCTTCTTTGTCCTAAATGCTTGTATTGTGAAGCACTTTGTAACTTAAAAAAAAGCAAATAAATATACTTGCTTACTCATTTATTATTTGTCACACATTTTACCTTCAGGCCCTCCCACTTCCAGACATGCTTCGGTTGTGTAGGCCTACACTGATGCTTCATATACGCTAACACACTGCTGATTTGTAAACCTTTCTTACTAGAGCAGTTTTGTGAGCCAAACATCCTAAGCTTTTCTACTAAGCTCTATGAATCATATCCTGCATTATGTCTGCCTTCACCCAGGAGCTCACATTAATTACTTTCTCACACTTTCCTATGAACTGCTCTACATGAACTTTTGTTTTTGATCTCTCAAAGTCAACACATTCAAATATCTTGTTTTGTCTGAACAACAGTCCAAAACCCAGATATTTAATTTAATATCATAGAAGAGTAAGAAAAGCATTACATCTGCATTATATCTTGGTTCAGCTGGACCAATTAATGTTTTTGTTTTTTTTTGTGGAAACAATAAGCAGTTTGGTCTCTTGTTTAAAAAAAATTAAGGTGACGTGTGTGAAGTGAGCAGTGTAGTGAACTAGAGGGAACAAAGTGTCAGGATCTTAAAAATAAAAAAATTAATGACATCTATTCAAAGCTCAGATTTCCATTAAATCCTGGCTACATTCAGTGATTACAATGTTTACGTTGAAAACTATGGGGGCGGCAACACGCATGCGTCAAGCGCACAGGAAAGGTATAAGGGGAAGAAGAAGAAACTCTTCTTGTCGGATTCCTCCCTTGCAAACGGGTAGCTTTGCTTCAGCACTTAAGTTTCTCCACTTGTCGGCAGCAAGGTAGCGACACCTGTTTGCACAGTCTTCGCCATTGTTAGCAGAGACATTTCATTTATTTGTTTTTATTTGGGCGTAGCGTTTGTCTGTCAACATGCTCGCGTTCTCGTTTCACGTATAGCGTTGAACTGAATGCAGTTGGCTTGCTAGTTAGATAACTTGATGCTCCAATCGGAAACGTTGCGTTTGGGCTCTGGATAAAAGTTTGACAAGCTGAACGTTTTATGTATGTTTTTATACACTGACAAAACCTGTTTCTGGACAGAAATTATATTTTGTTTGATTTTATAATATGTGCAGTTAGCTTATTTGCCCCCACCCATGCAGCTACAACAGCTTCCACTCTTCTAGAAAAGAATATAAACCAAGATGTTGGTTTGTCTATGGGAACTTTTGCCCCTTCATCCAGAAGAGCATTTGTGAGGTCAGACACTGATGTCGGACGAGAGGCCTGGCTCGCGATCTGTAGTTCATCCCAAAGGTGTAGGGTTGAGCAGTCAGGCAGGTGACGCTCTCCTGGTATTCAACAAATCCAGACTCGTCCCGCAGACTGCCAGATAGAGAAGCGTGATTAATCACACCACATAACACGTTTTCACTGCTCCACAGTCCAGTGACCGCGTGCTTTACACCACTCCACTCCGTGATGTAAGGCTTGCACGCAGGTGCTCGGCCATGGAAACCCACGAAGCTTCCGGCGCACAGTTTTTGTGCTGATATTAACGCCAGAGGAGGTTAGGTATTCAATATTGTTGTTACACATTCATGGCAATAAAGCTAACTTGAATTGAATTGTTAGGAACTCTGCAGTTATTGAGTCAGCAGAGAATTAGTGACTTTTACGCACCATGCGCCTCTGTTCCGCGACATAACGTTAGCTCTGTAACTTTACGTGGTCTGACACTCTGTGGCTGAGTTGCTGTGGTTCCTATACAATTCCGCTTTGCAATAATACTACTTATAGTTGATCATGGCGTATCTAGGAGGGAAGAAATTTCACAAACGGACTTGTTGCACCTGTGGCATCCTGTTACCATACCATGCTCAAATTCATTGAGCTCTTTAGAACGACCCATTCTTTCACAAATGTTTGCAAAGGCAGACTGAATGGCTGGGTTTCATATACATGAGGCAATGGGACTGAATGAAATGCTTACTAGTTTAATAATTAAGGTGTATCCCACACTTTTGTTCATATAGTATAGTTTGACATCAGATCTACTAAGGGACAATGTGTTGTAAGGCAAGCTCAGTATGAAAAGGTCTGGATCTTTGTTAATTTTCAGTGGGAAAATCTTACCAACTTCCTGTGCTATATTAGTCCAAAAGTCTGAGATCCAGGGACACTCGCAGAAATTGTAAATTTTTCTTACATTTAATACATACAGGAGAGATCTGGTTATTAGTTTTATTAAGTATAAAGTGCATTATATGGAGTATTTTTATATTGAGGCATTTATTTAATACTATAAATATTATTCTAATGAAATGTCAAATTTTTGTTAAAGTTGCTGGTAGAACATATAGAACAGGCTAAAGTGCAAAACCTTGTTTTCAGATGGTCATCTGCTATATTGCATATTATCTGCTATGGGCATAAATATTTTAATTCTTGTCCTTACATGCACAAAACACCTGGAAAAAAAAAAATTGTCCATCAGAGCCAAAGTTACCATATTCGAATGTCTTTGTCTGACCAGCAGTCCAAAACCCACAGATATTTCATTTAAAATAATAGAAGAGTAAGAAGAAATGGTTACTTAGTTAAGTTGGTCCTTCGACCAATCAATCTAATTGTTTCATCTTTGCTATACAGCGAAACAATACGGTAGGCTACCGTAGACATGTCATCTTAAGTGAAAAGAAGTAGATGTGAAAACAAGGAGGTCTCAGTGTAACTGTAAAAATGAAGGTAAAGTGTATTCCTGTAGAAATTCCAGCGGTCCCCACTGAGTGACTGAACAGTTATTGGTTGGATCAATTTATCTCTGACCTGTTGGATTTTATGGAGCGAATCAGATCTGCCGCTGAGTTAATATGAGGTGTCTGTATCTGGTGTTTAATAATTTTGAAAGCTGGAACAGCAGTTTCCTTAATGTTGTTGTGTTGGTGAGTTAGCATGCTTGTTTATTTGGCAAGCAAAAGGGGAGGGATTATTGGGATTATTGTGTCACGTGTTAAATGCAGAGGGACTTTGCTGTGGCTGAGTTTCTGTTGCAATAAAGGTAACATCATAACTCTATGGTAAAACTTAAATTTCTCTACATTTTACTGCAGCAACATAGGTTTCCAGCTCCTAGCTTAACCTTGCTTTGACAGATGCAGCACTTTCTGCATCCTTACTGACATGTGATTAATCAGATGAGAAGGTCTAATCCAATTATGATGGTAGCATGCCTGTTAGCACGCCTAAGCTTGCAGCTAGGTCAGGATATTTTTGTGAGTAAGCCCCAAGGAGGAAAGAGACTAAAAGAGGTGCGCCAGTTGTAACAGAAAAATAGATTTTTTTTATAGAGTTTGAGTTTTTATTTGCATTATTCTGCTGTCTTAAACTAAAGTTCCTACAGGCTGTAGCGCACATTTGTCCAGTGGATTGCCAGATAATAACAAGTTCATGTTCTGTCTCATCTCAAGGTTTTACACCATGTCCATTCTCAAGATCCATGCCCGAGAGATCTTTGATTCTCGTGGAAACCCCACTGTAGAGGTCGACCTTTACACTGACAACGGTAGGCAACAGTGTTTTGAATTTGTACATTTTGTAAACATGTTGCCAGTGTGCCTAATCTACAAAATAAATTTTATTGTCTCTAGTGGTTCTCATGTTTCTGCTCTTCATATACTTGTACATTTCACAGGTTTGTTTAGGGCAGCTGTACCAAGTGGTGCATCTACTGGAATCTATGAAGCCTTGGAGCTCAGAGACAATGACAAGTCTCGCTACCTTGGGAAAGGTTTGTACACAATTTCTGTTCCTTTTTAACATGAAACAATTAGTTAATTGTCAGGTGGTGTGGTTTTTGATATGTACCACCAAATATAAACAAGCTTTGTGGCCTTCGCAGTTTGAAGCAGAATTCAATTTTAATGCAAAATACTATATTTTATACTTTTGTTATTCTCACTCTTTCTTTCATCTTTACTCTTTTCTTTTTGCCAGATTTAAAAGGGTTAGTGAGTTTTTTATTGCCTGTGCCTCTTAATTAAAAACTAATTTTTGTTCATTTAACAGAACATTCAATTAC